CTCAGACCTGTGAACATGGCTAAAGTCAAATACACAAAGAACAACAAGTGTTGGCGAGGATGTGGAGAAAAAGGAACACTTGTACAGTGTTGGTGGGAATGCAAACTGGGGCAGTTATATATACAATGGAATATTTATTACTCGGCCATAGAAGAGAATGAAATCTTGCTATGGCTGAAGCTGGAGGGTATAATGTAATGATAAGAGAAATAAGTCAGTCAGAGACAGATACCATATGATTTCACTTACATGTGCAATATAAGAAACAAAACAAATGGACAAAGGAAAAAAAAGAGTAATAACCAAAAAACTGACTCTTAAGTATAGAGCACAAACTGATGATTACCAGAGGGGGATGGGTGAAATAGGTGAAGGGGATTAAGGGTACACTTATCATGATGAGCACTGAGTAATGTATAAAAGTGTTGAATCACTATATTATACACCTGAAACTAATATAACACATTATGTTAACTCTACTGGAATTTAAAAAAAACAACAACCAGCTAGTCATACAAATGAGTTAAAGTTATAGAATACCTATAAGGAGTTGAGTTTTCTAAAGAACGTAGCTAGTATTGCTTCATTTTGTTTGGCCTTTGACCTTTATAATTAAGGGGAACAGAGAAAAATGACTGAAGGTCTATATTACAAACAGAAAATAATTTAAATTTCATTTTAGAGTCTAAAAAAATGAAAAGGGCATGATATTTTTTAGATAAGATTAGAAAAAGTGGTTATCTTTTCTTGCCTTAATAGTGTATATAGCTAGTTAAGGAACAGTACTTCTTTTTCCAACTCCTTAGTAGATAAATAAGGATGAGTGGAGAGCTTAAATCCATTTGTCTGAACCTAAAGAAGAAGTTTCTTTTTGTGAGATCATTACACACTGATACATACAACCAGATCAGAGTGTTAAATTACTCTCCTTAAGCGTCTGCCTTCGGCTCAGGTCATGATCCCAGGGTTCTGGGATCAAGCCCCACATCGGGCTCCCTGCTTGGCGGGAAGCCTGCTTCTTCCTCTCCCACTCCCCCTGTTTGTGTTCCTGCTCTCGCTAACTCTCTCTCTGTCAAATAAATAAATAAAATCTTTAAAAAAAAAATGGTAGCAGTCTAGTGATTGGTATAATTTTTGTGATCTGTCCTGGGACAGTCCATGTGCCCCATTTGTTATTCTAAGTTTCTCTATTTTCTCAAGCTAATGTTCACAGATGAACAAAATTTTATATATCCTCAAATAATTTTGAATTAAGAGAGGTGAAAATTAAGGCAATATTTTTGAATTGGAAAATATAATTGAATTAAGAATTAGAAATATCTATTACAATAGCAAACCAAGAACGTATTATATGATTTTCCTTGATAATCATTTTCTGACCTACATTGTCATAGAAATTAATGGATAGTTGAATATGAATTAGATATCCATTTGGATTTTAGTGTAATCACTTAGATAATTTTTAAGGAAAAATTATTACTCATTGAAAGTACAGTCAGCTAAAATTTGGAACACCTTTTTTTTCCCCCCAAACAAGCTATAAAAATGGTCTTTCATTCCTCAGATGGTGCTCGTTGTATGATGTTGATACTCTAAAAACATGTTTCTGTAGTCATAAAATCACTCCTCGCTTTTAGTTAAGGATATCTTAAAATACTCTGTCTCTGAATCTGCTATACTTTGAGAGTGGTATACTTTTGTTACAGTGTAGTAACAAGTACATTTGCTCTTCTAGTACCGGGTCTTGGCTCTCGGTCCTTCTTAGGTAGGACCAAGTGGGTCTGTCTAGTAGACTTGAAAACATGGGCATGGATCTGGAGATATTTTGATATTAAAGATAAGCACTTGGGAGTCAGTAATATATGGGTGTTAGTTGAATTGATCACACGGATGAAAGAACCAAAGAGGAGCATATATGGTGAGAAGAAATACTGCCTGAAGACTGAACGCTGGAAGAGCCAACATTTAAGGATTGGACAGTGTGCCAAGAACCTTCAAATAAGGCAGAGGAAGAATAGTCAGAACATACAGATGGTTTGTAGTCTGAAACTGGATGAGATTATTTTAAAAAGTGAACATAGAAAATGTAAAAGGTCCACTCCTGAAGTACGCTGATGTGCACTGGTCAGGTAAATGAAGAAGACCCTGCTGGAAGGACTGAGAAGGAAGGAGCAGTAAAATAGGAGGAAAACTTATTTAGTCATTTAGTTTGGCAAATAGGGTATTAACTGGTGAACTTAACAGGAACAATGCTAGTGAAGTGGTGGGAACGCCAGCCAAAAAAATCAGTGGGCCGAATAGTAAATCAGAGATGAGGAAGCGGAAACAGTGATTATATACTTGTAAAATAGGTTTGATGGTGAAAAGCAACAAGATGGTGGGTCACTCAAGGATTATGTAGAATCAAGAAATGACTTTTTGTTTGTTTCTTGAAAAGGGAAGACAAACATCTTCATAGGAGGAAGGGATGTAATCTGTGGAATACATGGAAAATATTTGTGGAAATATGATCTGGGAGAGGCAGGAAAGGACATTTCCAGAGCACCATTGTGCCTTGGTTTGGAATGATGGAAGAACATATTTTTGTACCCAGCATCTAGAATGATGGCGTTATCATCAACTGAGATGGAGAAAGCAGACTTTCACTGGCTTTCCATTCACTCATAATTAAAGTGGAAGTCCTTTCTACAGAGATGGTGGGAAAAGAAGTGAGGATTGATGAAAATATAGATGATTTTGAGAATTAAAGGGAAAGAATTTCATTTGTTCATATAAGAAGACTTTATTGACTACTGACTATGCCCCATGTATGATTCTAGGTTCTGGAGATTTGGACTGAACCAAATAGATACATTTTTAATTTTGTCAGTGGAGTTTATATTCTAGCAAAGAACGGAGGGGTATGTACCTGAAGGCTCTGTTGTGGTTGGAGGAGGCAGCTAGATGACCTGACACAGGAATGAATCGGTTCAGATGACTCCTAAGGGAGAGTAGTGTTGGTTTGTATTAGTTGCTGATTGGCTTTGGAAAGGAGCCTAGCAGAGACTAAGGGCTATATACTTTTTTGGTAGCCAGGAAATAGGATATGGAGAATTTCTTTTTTAGTGCTCCACAGCCTAGAAAAAGGTATAAAGAAAATTAATACTTTGGAGGGACAGGATTGAGAACTGTGAGGGTGAGTTTGGAGGCCTTGCAGATCAACATGTAATTAACATTTGCTTTTATTAAATTATATTTCACAGTTCAAATAATGTAATTCCAAAGAAAGTGTATCAAAAAATACATTAGTATTGTTTGTTTAATTGACATTCCAGAATTAATAGGAGCTACTCATTAATGTAAAATGGTAAAGTAAATGCACTTTGGTTTATTTGATTTTCTACTTCTTGCTAACATGTAGTCTGTGAGAATTATATATTTTACTCCTTAGATACCTTTTTGATTAACAGTCCTTTAAATTTCCTATGCCAGCAGATGGTAATTCATCTTGCAACTCGAGTTCTTTTACTATCTTAGGGTATTCTAGCCTACTATTTTGATTCTACTGAAATATTTTCGCTTGAATTATTTATAAGGACATAACCAGTTATAGCAAGTGGTTCAAGGCATTAGTGTTCATTTCTGGAATACAAGTGCTCTGCAATCAGTCCTATATCAAGTTAGGCTGACGTTATTATAGGTGGGGTTAAAAACATAGCTTTAGCTAATATATTTGTTTTCTTAGAATTTTACAGTTCTAGGTTCTAAATTCTAATGACTTTAATTACTTGACTAAGGCCTTACTCCTTTCCTGTTGAACCTCCCTTAAAATACAGTGTAATGTTTTTGGGTTTTTTTGCATGAAATTAAAGTGTCAGTAATTGTTATTTGTCTACAACATGAAAGCAACTCCTACCAAATTACGTGATACTCTGGGAATTTATACGTATAAAATGCATACTATATAAGACTTACATTTTTTAATGGTAACACAAATAGACAATTTTTCTTAGGTTTGGGTAAAGGAGTAAGTGATTGTCTTAAGTACTTCTGACATCAAAAAGACTTTAATTGGGTTGTTTGGCTTAGAACATTGAGGTGAAAATAATTTTCTTCCCCAAAATCTATTTTCTGGAGTTGGGTCATTCTGCTTAGTAAGCAGTGATCTGTTCTTGCATTGAGGTTCAGTTCTTTCACTATAGTGATAATGTTCTAAAACTAAGGTAGGATTTTGGTGGGGTGGGGGCGGATAATTTCTGCCTGCTTAATACTAAAAATGAGTTAAGCTTTTCATAATGAACGTGCTGTTATTCTAGGGCATAGGATTTAATTAATTTTCAATTAGTGTTCTCATTTTCCATATACTTGTTTGTGTTCTTTGTGTGCATTCTTTATATAACTAGCTGGTATGAGGGATGTAACCAAGAGTTAGAGCATTGATAATTGGTCTACGTGGAGAAAGAATCAGTGGTCTTGATCTTTTACATCCAATTTGACAAATACTGAGAACATACACCATAGAAGGCACTGTGCCAGATACTGTGGAAGACTGTTATAATTTATTGTAATCAGTTAGGCTAACCACAGAAGCAAACAGCAGAATGGTGTCCAGGAAGTTCTGGTTTCATGAATTTCAGGCAACATTAATGCCAGTTGATTTAAGAAATCAACCAAAATAAGTTTTATTTTACTTTAACATGTTGTCAAGAGTCTCATCGTCCTTTCCAGGAAACTGGAACCTTTGATTAACAGGAAGTATAGGCTGCAAACTGTTAACTGGAATTCAGTGACTCCCTTTCCTGTCATTTAGTAAATTTTAGGAACTATTTGCATATCACCTTTAGTAATTGGCTTAAGGAGAATGACATTTGTAAAAATGGTAAAAAATACTCATTAATTTTTTATCTCTACTTGTATAATATAGAGTGAGTTTCAGTTCTAATTAAGATGGAACCTTCCGGATACCAAACACTAATACTAACATAAAAAGTAAATTACATGATTTTCTTGTAATTTTGTAGCGCTTTGAACTCCAAGATTCAGAAAGCTCTGTGCTTCCTAAAGAGGTGGTGAGAGTGGAGAGGCTTGTGGAGAGCACTCCCCCACAAGCTAACGTGACTATCCGGATAGCAGAAAAAGAGGTGACCATTCAGGTAACGGATCAAGCTTTATGCTTTCTAAGATGTGCTTTGTCCTGCCCATTTTTATGACCTAAATTGGGTTTATGATCTCCTTATAAATCTCTGGTTCTGTAGGGTCCCATCTATATATCTGTATCTGTATCTGTATTTATCTTTGTCTCCACAGTCATGTATGTTTGTAAACTAGAAAAGTTCAGGAGAAACATGGGGATAGCCTTTCATCAAAAACCAAAATTGATCTCTGGGAAAATCAAATCAAGTACTGAATAAAGCATTGTGTATTCCGAGTCCTTGGTAAGAAATAGTGTTTTCAAACATATTTTAACAGCTAAGGAACACTCTTTTCAAATAAAATCATTCTTAGCTACATGCACTATTTAAAAGAGGAGCTGTTGTAGTTGCACAGTGTTTAGAAGAAGGGAAGGGGGCGCCTGGGTGGCTCAGTCGTTAAGCGTCTGTCTTTGGCTCAGGTCATGATCCCAGGGTCCTGGGATCAAGCCCCGCATCGGGTTCCCTGCTTGGCGGGAAGCCTGCTTCTCCCTCTCCCAC